TATATATATATATATATATATATATACAGCATGTTTTTTTTTATGTTTTAGTATTTAGTTCTAGTTGTTTATTTTTTTGTTATTTTTATTATTTTATTTTATTTTAGCAAATAGCTGAAATAATGTAGGTTTAAAATATTTAAAGTAGCTTCTATTTTATTTCAGTGTACTTATAATATTTTTCATATGTTTGTTTTCAATTTTAGTTTTAGTAATTTTATGTTTTTGCCAATTTTATTTTTTTAAGCATATAGTTTTGTTAAGTTGTAATATTTAGTTTTAGTAATTTAATTATGTATTTAGTTGTTTATTTATTATTTTAGTTTTATTTTAGTTGGAAACTAGCTGAAGCTAAATAAATCATTTGAAAAAAGATTAACATTATAAAAAGTAATTTTGATTTAAATATATTAATTTAATAATAATATACAATATTTAATACAGTAAATTTAATATTAATAATAAATAAACTGAAAAAATGTTACGTATCTAATGTGACATTTTTACTGGTGTTACATTTTGCTGTTTTACTTGCAGTTTTTTATTTTAATTTTTTATTAATAATTATCTGATCTGGTTCCTCATTGTATGGAAAAGAGCAGCGTGAACATTCTGCAAAAGTGTTTCTTTTGTGTTCCACTCAAGAGTCACAATAAATATGAGTAAACAATGGCACAGTTCTATGTTTGGTTGAACTGTTCCTTTAACACAAAGACAAATGCATAGAATCTCAATGCATCAGTCTGACGTTTTGTCTTGTTAAGATTTAAAGAGAGGTTGTGACTTACTCGAGCCCTTCCTGCGGAGCAGCACAGATCTGACGAATGATAAGAATATGACATCAATTATTCACGTCTCTAAAACGCTGGTGTAAGTCGCGTGTGGTCCAGCAGGAATCAGAGACCTGGACACATTCATTACTTCCCAGCCTTCTCCTGTAGATAAACAGCCATTTGTCACTGCAGGCTTTGGTGAATGGAGGCGTCTCGAGAGTCGGCTGGGAAGCCAAAGAAAACGGAATGGGATCTATTTATCAAGCCAGGCTGTTCTGTTTACCATCTGTGATGAACAACGCCGAGCCAAAGTACCTGCAGTTTCCCATTTCCAGTGAGCAGCGGCGCTGGGAAACCCGTCTAGAGCGCCAAAACCAGCTGATGAATAACTATACTGTACGTACATGTGAATACGCCCGCTCCGTCGGTCTCGCTCTTTCTCTATGGTGACAGCAGAGGGTCAGGGTTTGGCTGGTTAGCATGGGTCAGTTATCCTCTGCTGGTAGTCACAAGTGTAAGCCAAAATTTTTTTAAAAATTACAGTATATTTCATTATGTACTATATATAAAAAAAAATATATATATATATATATATATTGGTTTTTATATATATATAATATTTATACATTTAATATAAAAATGTGTGTGTATAT